AGAGAGAGTAGAAGTGAGAGAAAGAGAGAGAAGAGTGAGCAGAAAGAAAGATGATGAGGAGATAGTATAAGATGTAAAAGAAAGAGAGAGAGAAAGAGGAGAGAATAGAAAGAGTAAGAGAGAGAGTGAGAAGAATAGAAAGTACGATGCAGATGAGATATGCTGTAGAGATTAAGTATAAGAAGGTAGTAGTTAGTATGAGAGTTGATCGTTGAGTAGAGAGAGTGAGTTTTAGAAAGTAGAAGAAAGTTGTATCTGTTTTGAGAGAGAGGAGTTGTGAGTAAGATAAGAGTAGAGTGAGTGGGAATTTAATCAAGACAGAGAGAGAGTCGAGTAAGAGTAAAAAGACAGTAGTAGAGAGTGGAGAGTATGAAAAAAATTAAAACACTACTGAAGGGTTCAATAACAGCATATGAATAATTATACCTCTTCCGGTGCGGCAGCAATGATACATCTATCTAATTCATCATTTCATCGTTCTTCCTCGATCTTCCTCCTATCTCCCGGCTGTTGGATTAGACGGGATGGCTGCCTGGATCCAGGTCCACCAGTTTCACCAATGGCCTGTAATTTTGTTATTCTAAAGATCAGAAATCGATACTTTCTATTTACATATCTACATCTATGCCTGTTACCATTCAACTGCATAAAAGAACTACCTTATCTGTATACTATCCAACAAGGAAATTCAATCCACTGAGCATTTTGTTACAAGGTTGCGATACAATGAAGAACTAACTAATATGTGCAATAATCAAGTAATGATGTAGTGATCTTGAAGAAACTAAGGTCAAGAAGTAATCTTGGTATAAAGCAGCTTTTTTTAGTGAAAAAACTCTGAAAAAGCTATGAAATATTGCACTTACCCCTCATTTACAAAAATACTATTGTATTAAGACTCAACTCCCTTGCCAGATACTTGCATTTAAATCACTGTGATACTAATAATTTACAAGTTAATTCATCCATTCTCTATCTATAAATATATACATAAAATAATCATGTGATATGGTACAGCAAATGTGATTACACATCTATATATAAAACAAAAAAATACAAATTACAGAAAAGGTGAGTGCTCCATATTACTAATATTAGCATTATTTCAATTACAAAAATATACATTTTTATTAATTACCAAAGTAAAAAAAATGTGGAAGCAGCTGCAGCAATAACTCTTAAATTCCCATATTGCCAAAATATAAAAGATGTCAACAGTCCAACTATTTACTTGCAAAATATACCAAAATCTTGGAAATAATGACCCTGAATCTATTTACCATACATAACAAATGCACTATTCCTACAAATTAACTATGCTACTGTTATAATTATTTTCTTGATCTTTTGCAACAGGGATTTTTTTGTGTCGAAATCTAAAAGATCTTTTCACACTGCTCCTAGTTGTGAAAAGCAGGACACCATGCATAAAACTATGGCATAATGCCCCGTGACCTTGTGCAATAAAGGCCCAAATGATAAAGTTTAAGGAGTGTACTGTTTTTTTTTACACAGTGAAGGATGAATTCAGTGCATTCTTATAGACAAGGCAAGGCACAACCAATGTGCTTTTATATTTAACAAGTGCATCTCCTGTCTTATAGAAGCTTTGTTATATCACTGAAGGAGACACATAGCACACTTGTTTTTTTTTCACCTGCCTTTAACTTGCCTATCTTAAGTTGAAAAATGAGATGCAGTTCTTGCAATGGTAGCACACATCTCAAGGCAAAACGCAAGTTTCACACAGCAAACTTGTGAATAAAGCATAAACTCATAAATCATAATCAGCAACCGTGACGGACATTAATATCTTACAGGTGGATCTGCATTGCCGTCCTCATCCGTTTCGTCACCTATTTGAAACATGGGGTGGCCTTGGTGGTGGGGCGAGGTAGGAGCAAGGTGAGGGGGAGGGGGGGCATGAGAGGGACCTGGCAGATATTCAGTGTCTTTCTCATCCAGATCCTCTACCTGGTCCTCCTCCCCATTTAGCTCGCTCACCTCTTCACCACCACCACCAGAGGTACCACCCCCATCACTAGTTGACGGTGGATCCAATTGGCCATCATGAGAGGCAGATTGAGTGGCCTCACCACCCTGCGATTGTAATGGGCCAAGATATAAGGTACTCTTCCAGTCATTTATTATATATGTCATTAGTAATTTACCAGTTGAAATATATTTTACAGTATATTCCCTTCCAGTGAAATCTGCCAAAAGTTATTATCTCTCTTGCTATATAACATACTTGCAAATATCATGCACTGAATCTACAATTGAATTAATTATAACATTCAACTTATTCATAAATAATCAATATCTATTTAAGTATGAAACATTTTCCAAAGACACATATCACAACCAACAACTAAAAAGTGTTTATCAAAACTAGCTGACTGCTTAACACAACTTCCAACAAATTACAGAGTTATTCCCATTTTATGAATACATGCTCTGATACTAGCAGCTATACCTTAGCTTCAACATCTCATATACAATATTTATGAAATGTAAGTTAACTATCTTCTCTTTGAATCATGACTAATATGTAATGGCAGCATTAGTAGGAAATATAGGTCTTTTCCATTCTCTATTTTGTGTGTTAAGTATAATGGCATTTTGTATTATGGTTCTGGAATAAAAAAAAAATGTAAATAAAATAATTTAAAATTTCAAATGAAAACCTATCAAGTATTCTATTTCAGGATTGTAAAAGCAAGATTTCTTTTTAATCATTACTGATTATTTCAGAAGAAAATATGGGACTTCTAGTTTACCGTACTAAAGCCTCCATCTAGACCATCCATTGTAAAACAATTGAACCTAATCACAGATATATTCATGTTCATTATCATTAAGAAACTGTATATCCTTTTACTAATTTCATGAAGTGTGCAGCCAATCACAAAAGTTAATTCTTGTTTTGAAAATAACTTATCAAATAAAAATGAGCATGACCCCAAAGTGTGTAGCTTATGAAAGCACAAAGGAAGACTTTACTGTAGTCTTATATTCAACACAAGAGTTCATAACTACTTTGCCTTGTGATAAGCAATTCACAGATCTCTACATCGGAGAATCAAGACATTCTCTAGAAAGTTTGATAAAGAATGGTCTACCAGCTTTAGCTTCAATTTAATGTATCAATTTTATCATAATGTATGATATCCATACTTGCTACAATACTTGTAATGATCTGTGAATCTAAGGATTTGAAAAAAATTAATACTGTTTACTAAGGGTACATAATCATCAACCATACAACAATAAAATACATCCTAGTTACATGCATACATTCATATGCAATTTAAATATTTACCAAACAATGTGCAAAATTATGCAACATGACAATAGATCAAACTTCTTCACTGTATTTATGCTTTATGTCTGATGCAAAGGGTAAAGCAACATTTGCCTTTAATTCAATGCATAGTAGGCATACTGAATGATAAAAATGATGCATGGCATAAAGAAATTCCCTAAAAAAATGCATAAAATCAATAATAATAAAAACGTGCAATATACATTCCTAGAGTACTTCATCTCCAATAAATGCCAAATGTTAAACAAATTTAAGTACCTAAATGGCTAACATTGCTAACTCCTTGCAGATAAGCTAGTGATATCCAAGTAACACCCACAACTTGGCATATTTACGATGCTGTACCACCAAATCTTACAAAAAACAACAACATCTCATCTCATAAAAATACTTAGTAATGATAATAAATAATTTAAAAAATAATGATAAAGAATTGTCATAAATGTATAACATCTATCATTCACTGACACTGACAGGTTCCCCTTATTCATTACTCCAGGTCTTGAAATCTCATTTGCTATCTCCATTAGAAAGTAA